CCCACGTGAGTCCATCTCTTACTGGGGGAGAAGGGCCTACAACCAGCCATTTAGATTTATTGTTGCTCCTATTGTTGCCAAGCATGGAAGGATGATCAGGATTTTCTCAGGATCCCAAAGCCGACCTACAGAGGCAACTGTTACTAATCCTTAGCAGATATGAAAGATTACTGTGGGTTAAAGTATAGATTTAGAGGGGAAATCCCACTCACATCAGAAAGAAAGGCAGATGAGTCAGAAATTGGGGCAAATGACAGATTAATGAGATCAGGCTGACCAAGGAAGCCAATTCTAAGACAATTAAGGAAGAGCTGACACAGCCCAGGGGTCAGCAGCAATCCCAGGACAGGAAAGCAGGCTAACAGCATGGGGTCTCCCTGCCGAGTTTCTCAGGAAGAAGGGGAGCTGCTGCTCCTTTCTGACTTGGTGTATAACCTTCCCAGCCCTAGAGGACTCTGCTGAGGTCCCTTCTCGTTCTGAAGAAGTGTCAGATTCTAAAGAATGCTGAGATTACGCCAGTGGTAAACATGTCTAAAGGGGAAGTGGTAGATTTGAATATTTCATATATATTTTTTAAATGTGAAATAAAACACTAGAATTAAATTAAATTATACTAGAAATAAAACACTAGTATAAGATGAAATATACTGCCAATACAACTTATTCATATTCCTCCTGAGATTATAGGAACAAGTGTCAGAACTTTCCTAGTAAACAAAGTGGTCTTCTTAAAAATCACAGTGGTTGGCTGTGATTTTTAACACACTGAGATGTGTTCAGAGTCTCATCAGTCCCCTTTGTCAAGGGCTAAGTGCAGATGAGAAAAATGTCTCAATGGAGAACTTCAGTTGTGTCAACAGACAAGCACTGCTCTGCCAGAAGGCAGTGCAATAGATTTTATAAAGCCCCTGTATTCTCTAGGAAGCACCATTCAAGTTTTAAGTGATCTTTACATTGTAAAATCCAAGTCCCCTCTTTCTCTAATGGATGTTCAACGTACAATATTTCAAGGGGACAAGAAAGGAAAGAAGGAAAGGAAGAAGAGGAGAGGGAGAGAGAGAGGAGAGAAAGAAAGCGAAACGTAATTGAGGAACCAATTTATAACCTGAAGCCAAGATCTTTTGAGTGCCTAGAACCTGAACCTTAAGATAACTAGGCCAATGATATGGTTGTACTTGCAAGACCATATACACAAATCGAGAGCCGGGGCTGTAAGACAGGGCCCAGATAAGCTAAACAACTGGGCTGCAGATGATAAGACCGGTGAGATATTATTACATATTCAATATGACTTCTGGTTTTGCCCAATTTCAAATTTATCAATTTAAATAGCATATGTTGATCATCACAAATAAAGTGTTAAATTCTCTAGCCTACTGACTTTATAATTCATAATCCCTGCATACCCTTCTGTACGCTGTCTTCAACCACAATTCAACTCAAACATCTTGCTCATTTAACCCTTCAAATGACACACACAGTGGTTTCAAATCTGTCATAGTTTTGGAAAGGATACCTTCATTTATCCAAAAAGAGGACCATAAACACTGCATAGAAAATGTTAGCCATCATTTCTATATTTTTTATACCATCTGAAAGTATGCAGCTAATGCTTGTTAAATGAATGAACAAATTAGGGTGGCGTTTACTCCAACTATTACAAATCACAGAATACACTGAGGTACCCAAAGTAATCAGGAATACAACTGGCGTTCTATTGAGTTTCTGTAAGCTTTCTGTATGTATATAAACCACACTGATGATTTCATAATTAAGTCACAGTAACATTCAGCTTATGACTGCACACACATATTTGACGTTGGAATGCCAAAATTCTGTAATTAAAAATACTACATTTGACTAGAGAAAAAAATAATCTTTTCATATATTAATATGTTTAACAACATTTTCCTGTGTACATCTGAGGAAACAATTTATACCATACAATTAAGGATTAAAATCAAATGCAAACTGAAATAACAAAATAGAATATCCTACCTGAACATCTTTGTATTTGTCTCGTAGATCCAAGAGCCTGTGATAAGCTTTAATGGCTTCTGAAAACTCCCCAACATCAGTGCTGGTAAGGATGTAATTTTCCCAAATCTGCCAGTGTTCGTAGTTACACTTGAGAGCTTCTTGTAAAGTTCGAAAAGCTTTCACTCTATGGAAAATTTTAATTTCACTCTATTGTTAAATTTTAAAGACAGCAATAGTGAAACATTTTTATTAGGATAAACCACAGCTAAATGTATAAAATGCCAATATGGACTGTCAGTTATATGTTAATAATCATTCATATTAACAAACAGAATTCAAGACACAAGCAGTCCCAAACTACCTCAAATTTCCCTAAAAACTCAATGATACACCCTGCAGTATATACAGCATACACATAGACATATTCCTTCCCCAAGCTATTTACTGGATAACAAGGACATTATTTTATAGCTGGGTATCAACCCCAGTGTTACCCCAGGAGAAGGCTCACTCAAGCGCAGACTTGAAGTCAGAGTGGCCACTGAGTGCCATTGCAAACCTGCAAGCCAAAAGTAGTAAGCACAGCAGTACTGATGTTATCAGAGGTGAGGAGGTCAAAACAAACAAAAAACTCTTCACATTTTAAATGATTGTATGAACCAAAATTCCACAAACTGTGAAAAAAAAATCTACCCTAGGAAAGACTATCAACAGAATTAACCAACAAGACATGAATTTACTAAGAATAAAATTAATTTCAAGAAATGATCTATCAAGTATTTAAATAAATAAATTTGTTCAGAATACTGAAAGAGACAAAGAAATAATTTGCATCTAAAAGAAGCAGGAAATTATGAAACAAAACCAGATAGAAATGTAATAAAAACAAGGCAATGTGAATAAAAAACCAACCAGAAGGAGACATTTGAAACAACAAGAAAAACATCATGGGGTGACAAAAACTGGTCTGCATATAGTCAAAGGTGTGACTATGAGGTGTTCACGTAGAATTCTGATTTAAAAATATAGTAGCCATAAAGAGAGGCTCAAACATGCATCTGATAGACATTTCAGAGTAAATAAAGGGAGATCAGGGCAGGATGCTATATACTGAAAAGATAACAGCATAGTATCTTCTAGAATTGAACAAAGCTGTGAATTCTATTATCAGGAGTATATTTCACATACTGAGTATTATTAAAAAAGATAAATCAACACCTAAACATACTGTGTGAAATTTAGAGAAGATATTCCTAAAACCTACAAAGGAATGACAATCAGCAAACAGCAGATACGATGAACAGCAGCAAGGTGATAGAAGATAATGTCTCTCTGCACCTACGTTTAAGGGGCTGAGTGATAATAATTGTCAGTCTAAAATTTTATAGCCAGCTAAACGTACCACTCAAGAGTAAATGCAAAACGAAACATGGACAGATGCTACGAGTTTACCACCCACTGACCTCACTAAAAGAACTAACTAGAGGATTCTTTCTTGCAAAAATAAAGTGGAATTCAAAAAGAAAGAAAGGAAACATGTTTTCAAAATAAGTCACAAACTGTTTCTGTAAGAGTTTTTTTCCTCTTTTCCTTTCTTTGCCCACCCTGCCACTACCTCCCATGTAATTCATAGGGACTGCCGTCAACAGTGGTGCACTCAGAGTCCCCCACTCTGCCACCCACAGGAGGGTGGGGACGAAGCTGTCCTGTTGGAGAAGAGCACCCCAGTCCACACCCAGAGAACGATCCTGTCTCCCCTGTGCCCTCCCATTCTCTGGTCACAACTTCCCGGCCTCGAAATTCTTCAATGAATTCTTTTTTTGTACATACACCTTTATAAGCTGCTTCATTTCAGGATTTGCTTATCAAAGCCACCATGGCAGAGATATTGCACTGTGAACGTCAGGCCTGAAGACAGGAAATGTTCCCAAGGGACAGGATATCTAGGAAACCAGATCCAACAGTGAAGAGAGCACTTCAGTGACCAACCTTGTGATGACAACAGGAGAACCGAGAGTTTAATGGGCCACTTTAAAACATGAACTGGACGCCTTTGAGAGGAGCATTAATGATTTACCTCTGAAGTAACAATCTCCTTAGCCACGTCTGGAGCAGAAGCAAAGGAAGGAAAGGGTAAAAAGGCAGGAATAAAGGAATCCTTTACCTCTGAGCTTGCAACCCTGCTTTTACACAAAAACCTAGTCACGGAGCTGCAGGAAGGCAAGGAAGTCTCAAAAGAAGCTTGAGAAAAACGTGCAAGAGCCCCTAAGACAGGAAGCAGAATTCCTCACAACACTGGGCCAGAAGACAAGGTGGAGGATCACAAGCCTCACTGCATCCAAACTTATCTGGCTTACCAGAAAAACTCCCTGAGATCATCCTAGAAGTATGACAGGGATTTCCCCAGCCTGTTGCTTTAAACCAGAAAGGTCTCCAGTGAGTTTAAACACAATCAGTTGTAATCAAGAACATAACATCATCTTCTGAGGAGCAGGGTAGAACAAACAGTGCTTTATTTATACAGTCTGTCGTCCAAGAGCAGAGGGAGCATCTCATGATCGCCACGTAATATGGGTGTAATGACATCTTCACAAATATCTTGTGATTCCACAAAGAAAAATTAAGTTTGAAAATAAGGCCAAATAAAAATGGAAACATTCATCCTTTAATTAATTCATGTATGACAATGCTGGCAACACCCATCCTCGTCTCTTCCCTTTACTTAGCTTTTCGTAGCCCGTCAGTGAGCCCAGATGGCTGTCCCCTTTATAAATGGCTTGGCACCTGCCCCTTCTTTTTACACTCTGGTTATCTCATGCCTGGATTGTTACGACAGCTGTCTCCTGACTCGTTTCCCAGCTCCCAGTTTCCCCTCTAGTCTGTCTCACACACTGCCACCAGATAAATCTTCCTAAAAAGCTTCTTTCTTCATGAACCACCCCCCCCAACACCTCCGGAAAATCTCTGGCTTCCTCTTATGAAAATGATGTCTCAACCTGTTAGCTGGATAGTCAGAAGACCCTGAAATCTGATCCCAACCTGCCTTTCCAACCTTATCTCTCATTGTAGCTCTTGTACTACTCTGCAGCTGGACAATTTTGTCTCCTATTTCCTAAAATACTGCAATCATTCCTTTCATTCTGCAATTAGTCACATTATTTCCCTTACCTGAAGGTTCTCTTCTGTCCCTTTCTACCCATCCTTCAAGTTTTCATGTGAGTCCAACATTCTCTCAGAGGCATTTCTGAACCAGGATCACACACCTGCTCTCTACTGAGATCGTCACAGAACTAAATGAGCGTCTAGCACATGATGAGCGTTCTACAGATGTCACCTACTGTCACCATCACACAACTTATATTCCTATTAAATTTGTTTATATGAAATGATATTTTATTTTTTGAACCCATATTCCCTAAAGATACTGGTTCATATTTATTTACAGTTCTCAATAATGTCTAATACACAGCAAGCAATCAATAAAAAAATCTGTCAATTGAGTTGACCAACTAAATGTACATTTGCTTTATCAAAAGTCTAGGAGTTCAAGACCAGTCTATGCAACACAGTGATACCCCAACTCTACAAGAAAATTAAAAATTAGCTGGATGTGGTGGCACAGGCCTGTAGTCTCAGCTCTTGTAGAGACTGTGCCAGAAGGACCACTTTAGGCCAGGAGTTCAGAGTTATAGTGAGCTATGACTGTGCCACTGTCTTCCAGCTTGGGTGACAGCATGAGAGCCTATCTCAATAAACAAACACGCAAAGGGCCATATTAAGTCTGCCTTCCTCACATACACGGGTGAGAAAGGGGAAAAGGCAGAGTAAGGCCCAACGCTTCAATGTTCAACTGGAAATAATCTCATTCATTCATTTTGGAAGCAAAGATCTTCGTATTTGTTGAATGTACTTACTTTTGTTTTAATCGGATATATGAAGTTGACAAGTTGTTCCAAGCCTCAGCATTCTGAAATGACAGAGAATTCAGTTATAGACAATTATCATTCCAGGAAAGTAACTGCTAAAGCCAAAAACACAACATATTTTCTTAGTCCAATGTGTGCTCTTTAAAGATCACAATTTTCAACAAGGTATGTAGAGGCATATGAAAAAATTAAACATTTTTGTAAAAAAGAAATAGTCAACTGAATGGTGTAACTATTATCGTACCAATTTGGAATTGTTAAGATTCTATTTTCAAATTGAGATTTACAAAGTAGTTGGACAATTTACAACATAATCTATACATTATGCAGATTTACTACAAACCCAGGGCAATGCCGAATATTGCTGTACCGATCTTAAAAGGCTCTGCTAACCTACCATCATCCTCTTCACCAGATGGGAGAAAAAAGGGCGAGACAGCATTCCCCAGTGTTTCTCATCTACGTATTTCATCCACCTACGTTTCTCTCTACCTATTCCCACATCCAATGACAAAAATGAAGGTTTTATATAAATGTTGATTCTAAGAAGAATGACACAAATTATATTTGTTCCTTTCTTCTACCACTTGAGTATATAATTCTCTAGTTCCACACATATGATTCAAAAATTAAGTGCCGCTGGACCTCCATTTGCAGACACAGAGAAGTCAGTACCAGACTAGCCCTCTCACCATACAAAGCTACAAACTGGACAAAATATAGGAAACAGCTGTTTTTGAGAAGCTGGATAATAGGCAGCATAAGAGCATAATCCCTGAAAGAAGGAAAAAAAAAAAAAAAACCCCAAGGTGTCTCAACAATCAGCCTAGCCTTTGTCTAGAGGACTTTCAGGGCTGCAGCATGAGGAGGCAGAAACTAAACAAAGCACATCAAGTCTTACTGAGATGAGAAAAAGAAATCAGAGTACAGGCTGAAAAGGCAGCTGGAATATGCAGGACAAAACACCAGTGAACAGAGAGCTGTGCAGAAAATAAGCTCTAGTACCCCCGTAAGTCCTTGACTGGATACTAACCTACATGTAACAGAACAAAACTGACAGAGAACACCCAGCAGAGAGCTGCGAGCTGAACGGAAATTCTGGAGGTCATGCACCACTAGGAGTTACTCAAGTTCTAATCAGCCAGAGTGGAGAGTTCTTATCCATCACCCACAGCATTAAATTCAATCCTAGAAAGGTTTTGCCTTAAAAAAAGGATTATTATAACCTTAGAAAATAAGAACAATTCCAGATTCAACCTAGCAAAGCCTAAAGCCAAGCTGAACTGCAAGCAAATTAACTCAATGCCAAAACAAAAGTTGATCCTCTTTAAGGGAAGACAACAAAATCTAGAAACTCAACAACATAGCATGTACCATGTGGAGGATACAAAAAAAGAAAAGGCAGACATACAATGAAGCAGAAAAATTTCATCTGTAACCAAAGGAAAAATCAAGAGTAAAAGAAACATAATGAGGGGAAAAATACATCCAGAAGATACAAAGTCAATATATAAAAATCAATTATATTTCTATATTCTACCAAGGAATAATTAGAAAATAAAATTTAGTCCAGGCGCAGTGGCTCATGCCTATCTATAATCCTTGCACTCTGGGAGGCTGAGGGAGGAGGATCCCTTGAGTTCAGGAGTTTGAGACCAGCCTGAGAAAAAATAGCTAAGTGTTGTGGTAGGAGCCTATAGTCCCAACCACTCAGGAGGCTGAGGCAGGAGTTTGAGGTTGTTTTGAACTAGGCTGACACCACGGCATTCTAGCCTGGGGAATAGAGCCACTCTTAAAAAAAAAAAAAGAAAGAAAAAAGAAAATAATATTTATAACATAAAAAATAAGGATCAAGTTATTTCACTTTTAAGGTTTTTACCCAAGAAAAATAAAGACCTATGTGCACACAAATATTTGCCTTAGAATGTTCACAGTAAATTTATTTGTAATAGCAAAAGAGTAGAAATAACCCAACTATTAATTAATCAGATAAGATATAACAAATTGTGTATATCCATATAATGAAACACTATACAGCAATAAAAAGAAATGAATTGCTATTACAACTAACAACACTGATAAAAACCTGAAAAATAAGTCAAATGAAAGAAGTGAAAAAAAAAGAGTTCATGGCCTTTGACTCTATTTATGAAGATATACGAAAGGCAAAGCAGGCTCGGCGCCTGTAGCACAGTGGTTATGGTGCCAGCCACATACACCAAGGGTGGCGGGTTCA